CTAGTAGTAACAAGTGCCTTACTAGTAGTAACAAGTGCCTTACTAGTTGTAACAAGTGCCTTACTAGTAGTAACAAGTGCCTTACTAGTAGTAACAAGAAGCTATTAGAATTAAAAAAAGCTACTAGTAACAAGTGCATCGCTACTAGTAGCTTCTTGCTAGTAGTAGCGATGGCCTCCACCCTAGTAGCGACGGCCTCCAACCTACTAGCTTCTTGTTACTAGTCTTGGTTTACATGTATTTTTTTCACCAGAAAGACCTTGCAGGTAGCGTTCACAAAGCTTCCGTATTGCTCTCATCTATGGAATCCATCTTTGAGTACAGACCCGATATTTAGACTTGGACCTGGTATGAGGCTGTGTCTCAAAGGTTGATTCGTTTGGATGTACCCGTTTTGGGCCTACATCTCGGAACCAAATCATTAGTGCGTGAGCTATCCTGTGTCTGACCCAGATGATTACTCCCTTACTTAATTATATAAGTAGTCGCCTACTTCATTAAGTAGGAGCGGGCAAACAACAAACGCCCTTCGTTTTCATCGCCAACGGCAGGAGAGCGAGTCGGTGCGAATCCTCAGTGGCACCTGTGGCGATGGCTATCGAGAGAGCTCTGAAGCCTGTGATGATGGGAATCTGGACGCAGGGGATGGTTGTTCTGAGTCTCCTGGATTTGCTGAAGAGTTTCCAAGCAATTTTTCTTCATTTTGGTTTGTTCAAGTCCAGACGCTGGAGTCTTTGAAGATTGCGAAGGTTGAAACCGATTGTACGTGTTCAAATACAAGGAGAGGGGATTGTAGGTGTTCCAAGATATTTTTCTCCAGCTTTGACCAAATCCAAGGCTCTGTGAAGTCGAACCAGGCAACTTGGCAATTTTTTGACGTTTCTATTGACTCTGGTCCAACACGCGGGCACCTTATTGCTTAGACATAATATGCGGATAAAACATCATCTAATTGCTTATAAATAGCCTTACTCTAGTTTGCTTCGGAGATAGACAGGATATTATTGCTTCGATGCGGCTGCTATGGATCCTGGAAATTCTACAAACGTGACCAACATGACCAACATGACAACTACCGCCATCCCAAGCGCTGGATCTGGTCACTTCTCCTACTGCTTCCCCACCACATGTGGGGATGGCATTCTGGGCTATCACGAGCAGTGCGACGATGGAGCCTTGCTCCTTGCGAGAAACGGAAATGCGAAACGGGCCATGCCCACAAAACGGTCTACCGCACTTCATCGAAGAAGGGTTCTCCATCTTCCTGACCGTGAAGATCAACAAGTTTTCAGGTAGGTTGCCGGAAACCTGTGGTGGAAGGGTCCCAGAATAATCAGAAGGGTTTCTTCCTGTGCCAAGGAAATGTCAACAGCACCGACGGATGCTCTTCTAGCTGCAGGGTGGAACCAGGGTACTATTGCACTCAGCCACTGGGCATAGCGGAGCCATCCACTTGCGCATCTCGATGTGGGGATGGCCGACGGGTGGTGATGCACGAGGAATGCGATGATGCGAACACAAGGTCCGGTGATGGATGCAGTTCTAGCTGTATGATTGAAACAGGCTACGTTTGTGAAGGAGGTACAGAGACTCAGCGTGCAAAGATCACACCTTTTGATACTTTGTGTTTGCAGTCTACAGGCCTACAAACATTGTGAGTTTTCACTTGACCCTCTTGAAAACAAAAAGACCGAATGTGAAGTTCGTTACCTTTCTCCAGTAAAGGGTGATCCTTTCTGCTTTGATGAAGGACTTTCACAAACCAGACGTGCCCAGGAGATGGTTCAGGATTATTGCCATCCGAAGTGTGGAGATGGTGTGAGAGTTCCTTCTGAAGGTTGTGATGATGGAAACACCAAGGACGGTGATGGCTGCTCCTCCAGTTGCATTGTAGAGACTGGCTACGTATGTTATGGCGGCAATTCCAGCCATGTCACTTGAACTGATTAAATCAGAGAGCAGGAGAGTCAGAGAGTTCCCCTTCGTTATGAGATATTACGATGAGACCTCGACCCTGCTAAATATCACTCAATCAATTCTTGTGGAGGCCTCCAAATCAGTCATCACAGTCCACTATTTTTGTTCTGTGAAGTAGAGAGATTTGTGTGAAGGGGTTTCCTGGTGCTTGGCTGTGCCCGCCCTTGCCCTTTTTTGCCCTTTGGAGGCCATGACTCATGAAGGTTCCAGGTTTGAGGTCCAAGCCATTGGACTTCTCCATCAAGTGAGTGAGGAACTGGAGGGAAAAGAGGAGAAGATTGTCAGCCCTAAGCGTACGCCCTTGCAACATTAAGCAACATAATCGACTTTATTCACAACACGTAAACCTGCATCAACCGTAAGCAACATTTTTTTGTGGGCTATTTTTCCCCAGATAGCGAAGCTATAGGGGTTCTTACTTCTCAATGGATGGGTTCCTGATTGCGGAAATTGGCTGCCGCTGCCGCTGCCGCCTTGTTTCCCAAGCTTGTCTCCCGTCATGATTTCGCTCTTGGCTGCCGCTGCCGCCTTGTCTGTGAAGCTTGTCTCCCTTCATGATTTCGCTTTTGGCTGCCGCTGCTGCCTTGTCTGTGAGGCTTGTCTCCCTTCATGATTTCGCTCTTGGCTGCCTCTGCCGGCTTGTCTTCCAAGCTTGTCTCCCTTCATGATTTCGCTCTTGGCTGCCGCTGCCGCCTTGTCTCCTAAGCTTGTCTCCCTTCATGATTTCGCTTTTGGCTGCCGCTGCCGCCTTGTCTGTGAAGCTTGTCTTCCTTCATGATTTCGCTCTTGGCTGCCGCTGCCGCCTGGTCTCCCAAGCTTGTCTCCCTTCATGATTTCGCTCTTGGCTGCCGCTGCCGCCGTGGTTCCCAAGCTTATCTCTGTTCCTGATTTCGCTCTTGGCTGCCGCTGCCGCCTTGTCATTTTCTTGCCTGCCTTTGACGCGGATGCTGCTATAAGATGATTTAGGTCTTGTTTACCTTTCCATCCTTTTCCCGGCTTTGAGTGGGATGTCTCCCAAGCTTGTCTCCTGCTCTTGCCATGCTATCCTTTTCTTGAAGTGCTATCTGGGGTCTATGCCGGTATAGTTTTTTAATGGCAGGCTGCGTTTTAGTAATCGCAATACTTTTCTATGGCATGACATGACACATTGACATAAGTCAAAAGGATCAACACTTGGCACAGCTCAGATGAGTTCGCCAGTGACTCGTTTGGGGACTCGTGTTCGCCAGTCGGTTGGCACATCCAGACATTCGACATTCTTTGACACCCATGTGGCACTCCGATCAGCATACCCTCTTCTTCATGGCCCTGATACAGAATATTTTATATAATGCATTTGAATGTGTCACATTCCCTACATCACCTGGACCAGTTTGTCATGTTTATTTTCAGCACGAAACCGGTTTGATGACATAGGCCGACAGCTGCAAAATGACTGTTTGCGGCGATGGTGTCGTGGAGGGAGCTGAAGAGTGTGACGACTTCAATGACTTTGGCGGGGATGGGTGCTCTGCTGTATGTTTACGCGAAATCAAGGCACACGGGAGGAAAGCTGAGGGTGATATCTACAGCACGTATCTGCATGAGCAAAAAGGGTGTAACTACAGTTTATATTGTAACAACAACTGCAAGAAATGCTGTGCAGCTTTGCACCTATTGTAGGAACCACATGAAGGTGTAGCAGTGGATGTTCGATTTCAATTTTTCAAAGGTCA